TGGCTTGGTTCTCTTCAGCTGCTTCGGTTTGGTTGCTTTGGAGGCCTCTGGAGGTGAAGAAAGCTCATCCACTGCGGGTGGTGGATTGTTTGGCTTGGTTCTCTTCAGCTGCTTCGGCTTGGTCGCTTTGGAGGCCTCTGGAGGTGAAGAAAGCTCATCATCCACTGCGGGTGGTGGATTGTTTGGCTTGGTTCTCTTCGGCTGCTTCGGTTTGGACGAATTGGAGGCCTCTGGCTCACCCTTGTCAGGAGCAGACTCCTTTCCTTGACTCGATCTTTGCCTCTTGGGTTTGGGCGGGTCAGAGGTTTCTGATGGTTTCCTGGGCGGCTGAGGCTGAAGTGATGTCACCACAGGACCAATGTCGTTCAAGGTCAAGATCGTTGTGGTCTTGCTCTGCGACTGGGGCTGGCTGCCATGTTTCTGATCAGCTGTCTCAGTTGGCGACTTTGTTGTTCCACAGTCAGGCTGTGAGTCATGGTCGATTTGTGTCTCCACTGTTTCCATCATTGTTCCATCACATTCATTTTCATACTCATCATTGATGGTGATAGTGGGCGTAGGCACTGGCGTAGGCTCTGTAGGCATAGGTCTAGACAGCATCTGGTCAACTTCTGCCAGGAGGGCTGCCTCAGACTCGGGGTTGTCCTTCATCTCCGAGCGGGTGATAGCATCGTCCAACCTATCCAAGCAGCTATTCAAAGTAACCAATAGGGCAGCAGGGGAAGGCGCAGGTGAGTCAGCTCCAGGTTGCTGACCCAGCACAAGAGTCTCCTGGCCAAGCTCGGCTGATTATTTGGGAAAGTGCACCGTTCTACATGAAGAAAGTGCACCAAGCTCTATATGAAGAAAGATAGAAGCGACCTACTTCACTGGTTGACCGCACAATGCTTGAAGCCAATGTGGTTGCCTTGATGGCTGATTTGGGTTGTGGTGCCTGAGAGTCTGGTCCACCCTCATGTTCCAATTCCTAGGCGACACGTACAGTTGAATGAGCCAAGAGGATGTCATAATTCGCGAATTTGAGCTGAGGAGCAGCATCATGGCGCTTTGGCAACAATGGCTCCGTGGAACTTGCCTGCGCTCCGAATACACTGGATTTGCAACTCGGCTAGAGCCTTACTGTATTTACAATGCACGGGCCAATCGGCCTCAGCATGTTCCCAGAAGAGGTAGTCATCGACAGGTTGGCTGTCAAAAAGAAGATGGTGATCCATTCTGCGCAATGCATCCCCTGAACCAGAACCAGACTGGGAATCCTGGGTGGTCTCCGTCCTGAGCACACAAGCCCAATGACAGGTCCCATTTGTTCGAACTAATCGAGTAGGAATAGTTTAATATAAAGACAGAACATGACAGAACCCTCCAAAACATGAATATCAAGTGAGCTGTGTAAATCCAAAGAGTGAAAGGGACCGTGGGTGTTCACAAGTAGGCTGACAAACAGTGCACCGCAACTAAGCACAAACCACAAAGCAGCTGGACCGTTGCTGCTTTGGGACTTCTTCATGGTTTCATCAATCTTCCCATCTCCCTCAATCAAGTGCTCAAAGGGCAGCTTCTCCTCCGATGATTTAAGGGAAGGAAGGGTGGGCATTTTGGGGCACAGCTACTATCACAGGCCAACAACCAAACTGACTACTATAGTCTCCTTCCGGGTTCCACGCGGCCTTCCGCGTTGCTTTGCGGTCGCCGGTTTTTTTGCTGTTTTCTTGTTGGTGCCTTGGTGACCCTTCCCCTGAGGTTCATCACCTGAAGCACACGCTCCATCACCATCATCGTCATCTTCATCAGAAGAAGAACCCTTTATCGGGACATGATCTGTGTTTGGTGTGTCTTCGTCTTCTTCTTTGTCTTCTTTCTTTGTCTTTGGATTCTTGCTCGGTCGCTTCATTGGTTTTGCCTCTTCCGAGCCATTCTTTTCCCCAGATGACTCTTCAGAAGCAGCAAACCGTGGAGGAAGGGCATCACGATCGCCTTAAAATCGGACATTTGCATGGCGGCTGGCACAACCTTGTGCCAGCACAGTTGTTTCAAACCGGTTTCTCTCTCTACCAAAGAACGACGGACTGCCTGGCATGTTTGCCAAGACACTGGACTCGCTCCCAGTCGGCTTAGGCTTTACCGCCGCCGCTGCAGCCGATGGTGGTGGCTCAGATCTCGTGCGCGGCGTCGGTGTTCGCGTGACCCTGCCCGACCCTGGCCCGACGAAATTAGCCAAGTTGAAAGCCTTAGTGGGCACCAGTCATTCTCCAATCTGAAAGATATGTGATGGACCGATGGACCCAACATGAAACAAGCTATAGTTGCGTTTTGCCGGTTACCGCACCAAGAAACAGGCACTGAAAGAACAGCTGTAAGAGGGACTTCTTGGACATCATCACTCTCTGGCGTACGGCTCCGCTTGCTATGGCTCATAGTGGTCTAAACTCTAAACACACCTGCACACAGACTGGACTGACACACGTTTCTACCCTTCAGTTCAAACGGCGGGCGATGTGGGCACTTGAATGTATTCCAAGACTCCGGAAAACAAGCAGTCTAGAAAACAGTAAAGTTATTCGCTCTAAGCGAAGGTGAGTGTTCTCCTGTTTGAGAAGCTCCCGCTACTCTTTTTCAAGCTGCTGCCTCCATGTAAGTTCCAGAAAGTTCTCCAGGGCAGATTTGTGTGCCGCTAAAGAATGTCGTTGCCAAAACGTTCCCCCGACACATAGTGGCATCAAAGCATCTCTGCAAAGAAACAGAAGACATGGACTTGACCTCATTTGACTTGGCGCTGTGTTAAACATTTGCCAACATTTTACAATTTTGCATGTTGAGGTCTCCATGACCGAGTCCCCAAACAGCACATAAGGCACCCGAGGGCCCCATAAAGTAAAATTGACATGACATCTATTTACTGTTATTGTTGTGGCGCTGCGTTTATGAATGTTGGGGAGTAATTTTTAAATAGAAGAAACCCTGCATCAGGAGTACCCGGCAAAAATAACCTTGGTAGTACCGTGGGCCAGTTGCCTAATGGGTAAGGCACTGTCTTCAGCCTTCCAAGTACATCCTGAGTCTCCGGGTGTACTGGAAGGCTGAAGACAAGGATGGAGGTTTGAGCACCCCTGGTCCATTCTAGTATGTTCTTCAACAGTATTAAAAAATTAGAGACTAACTTTTGATGCTTTTGAATTGGCAAGGGCTTAAGGACAGCGCCAAATTATTTGCAGTGACCTGAGCAAACTTAGGAGACTAAGCCACTATGTGCATCCCGCTGGTGCGATGCTGGAAATTGCTGGTAGCCTTTCTCTTTTTGCCGCTGGCAGGAATGGGGCTTGTTGGTGGGTGAAATCGGTTGCAGTGGGAAGGCGGCCAGCATAGCCAAGGATCAGAACAGTCAGAGTAAGTTGTTCCCCGGATTAGATCAAATGTGCAAACAACAGTAAGTCTAAGTATTGTTGCTGGCAAGTTGATGACAAATGGCTACCAGCACATCAGCACGGCTGCGAACGCAAAACCTTCACCCATGATCAAATGAATGGGTGATCAGAGATACCCGGGCACAGCCATCCAGTATATGGTATAGGAGGTTCAAACGAAGCAGATTATGAAACTCTAAACGTTCAACTGTGTTAATCTGTTACCAAATTCGTGCG